GCTAATCCAACCAGAAATTGCACAATCCCATGTCTGCTTTGCTGGTCTACGCAGCCCAAATCTGCAATTGCGCCGCATGTAAGAAGTTCTGCCCAAATCCCCCATAAAAAGTCTCGGCTAAATCTAAAAACAGGCGGAATTTACAGTTGTAATTACATCGCAGTCCTAAATCCTCGTAATTGCAAGCAGACAACAGCTAGAAATGCCGGTGCTGCGAGTTTGAATTCGTTTTTGTCCTAAGAAAGCCGAAGAACTCTGTAGAAAGAACTGTTTTTGCCGCCCATTTGCTGTTTTTGCTCATTGGTGCACACATCTTTTGGTGTGTGCTATTGGTCAATATTGCAGCTAACTTTGTATGGCCAATAAAATATATTTAAATTCGGACTTTTTGGCGCTTACTCTCCAGAAATAAATTCGTGTGTATATTATTGGCCACAATGTTTCTGTCTAGCAACCGACCACTTATGGTGCATATGTTAATACCACTTGCCTATTTTGGCTCATAGTCTATTTGCCAGCAAACAAACATCGATTTTTTTATTATTATTTCACGAACAATTATAAACTATTATTATAACTCTTCCCGTATCAGCTTTTCCATTATATCCAGCTCCTCCATTTAAGCTATTAGTTATTATAACTTTCCTTGTCCATTTAAGCTACTAGTTACTACAAATATCCTTGTCCATTTAAGCTATTAGTTATTACAACTATTCTTGCCCATTTAACCAACCACGTCTCTTTGATCTTGTTTGTCCCCATTATTCCTTAACTCCAAGACTATTGTCCAGCCTCTAGACTGCTTTTTTATTCCTCAATTCTGTTCAGGCTTTTATCCCAAGTTTTTTCTCTGTTATACTCTTTATAGCCCCATCCCGATTGCTTTATATATAATGAATGAGCTCTACTTTAACGTCGAACACGGGTACCTTGAAGGAATCGTCAGAGGCTACAGAAACGCCTTTCTAACTTCTCAACAGTATAATAATCTTACTCAATGCGAATCAATTGAAGGTACGTCTCTTTTCATGATGTTCATTTTTTTTTCTTACCAATCATATGTTCTATTGTCTTCATTAATAACCATCTAACTGTTTTTTTTTATAGATTTGCGAACTCAGCTGTCCACAACTGACTATGGCTCTATTTTGCAGAATGAACCTTCCCCTATATCAACTCTGACTATTTTAACAAAACTTAAAGAAACTCTTGTTCGTGAATTTAAATATCTTAAAGAAAACTCGACTGGAGAGGCTTCCCGCTTTTTAACTTACATGACGTACTTTTCTTTTTTTATTAATTTGTTTGTATCCGTTACCACTATCAGTACTTTTACTATTTAGGTATGGCTATATGATTGACAATGTCATTTTAATTATTACTGGAACTCTTCACGAGCGTGATACTCATGAACTATTGGAAAAATGTCACCCTCTCGGCTGGTTTGACTCTATGCCTGCTCTTTGCATTGCAACAAATGTTCAGGAACTCTACAATACTGTTTTAATTGACTCCCCAATAGGTTTTTATTTATTTAAGCTTTACTCTGTTATTTTTTTTTATACTGGCATTTTACCTTATAGCCCCATATTTTGCTGAGTGTTTAAATGCTGAGGATCTCAATGAAATTAATATTGAAGTTATTAGAAATACTCTTTATAAAGCGTACTTGCTAGATTTTTATACCTACTCAACAACTGAACTCGATTCTACCACTGCTCATATTATGGCCAATATTTTAAAGGTTTTTGTGCATTTATCTTTGACTTTGCTTACTTATAATTTCATGCATAATCATTTCTAACCATAATTGTTTTTAAATTAGTTTGAAGCCGACTGCAGAACTATTAGTATAACAATAAACTCTTTTGGAACTGAACTTACAAAAGATGACAGAAAAAAATTATATCCTAACATCGGCTCTCTTTACCCTGAAATCCAATCACGACTTGTTCATACTGACGATATTGATCAAGTCAAATTTATTTTGGAGTCCTATCCAGTAACTTTTATTTTACAAGTATTTATTTTTTTTTCTTAGCACTTGTCTCATTTTACATCTACATTAGGCTTATAAAACTTTACTCAACTCGGATCAAACTGGAAACGGTATGTTTAGATCTCTTTCTTTTGAAGAATCATGCTTTGAACAAGAAGTCATTCTGAACAAGGATGCATATGAGCAACAGTACCATTTTGGCATTTTTTTTGCTTGGCTTAAACTAAAAGAACAGGAAATTAGAAATATCGTTTGGATTGCTGAGTGCATTAGCTTAAAAAATAAAGACCGAATTAATAATTATATTCCAATCTATTAAAGCATGCTAACAAACTAAAAATTCAATCTTTAGCTTTTTTTGGATCATGTTGTAGAAAACCCCCTCAAGCCTACTTTTTATTTTTGTTTTTTTTGAGTTTGGTTCATATAAAATATATAAACGTACAAATTAGTTTTTATTTTGATTTGTTTGTTCACATTTCATTTATATTATATGCCCATTCATTTACTGAAATCAATTCAAAAAAATATTCGTGTGTTATGTTACTACATGGAGATACTCTTCAAAAATTGAAATAGATTTTGGCATCAAACCTTGTTGTATTTATTTGTATAATGTATCTAACTTTGAAATGAGCTATAATTGACAGATTGATCTTATTTAATATTTAAAAAATATTAAACTGTCTATATGACTAAAATACAATGACGGCGGTGTGGTCAATATTTTAGAAATTAAGCTTGAAAATTTTATTAATCAATACACTACACTTGTCAATAAAGGCTACTATTATAAATAATGTTGGTTAACTATATAAAAAGTATATTTTTAAATTGTTTTAAAATAAATTAGAATATTTACTTGAGATTTTGAAAATTAAAATAAATTTTATGAAAAATTAATAATTTTTCTAAAGGTGTATATTTATATCAAAAAAGTAAACGATGTTAGCTTAAAGGCTTTTTAGTATTAGAATTAGAAACAGTATGACTACAATTATTGTTAATGATATGATAACTTTTCTTTCTAAAGAATTCTTCATTGATTTTTCTGCTTTAACAAGTTCCTTACTCGCAGCTTGAATATTGACAACAGTGTTTTCAACGTTATAATCGATTCTATCCAAAAGAGTTCCTTGGCTAATAACAAGCTGCTGCATATCTTTAAAAATATTTGAAAGCTCGTTTATAGACTTGTAAATATTTTTTACATCTTCTTCACGATCCAAAATCGCAGTAGACTGCGTCCCAAGCTCCATAGCTTGCTCATTTGTTAGCGATAAATCAAAATCTTGCTCAAATTCAAATTTTCTCCGTTTGTCTATTTCATCGTCCACGTTGAATACATCTTTACTTTGGTTATTACGTTTCGATAGATCCTTCAAATATTGACTTTGCATAACTTGGAAATTCTTGGACTGAGTTTGAAGTTTTTGCGCTAGCGACATTTGCACATTTTTGGTTATTAATAGTTGTTTACCTTCGTGGCTCTTGTCATATATGGCATGTATAGACTTTTGACAATGTTGAAACCCCTATTTTCGTACATTATTAGTTTTTTTATTATTAACAACTTGGATATTATCCCCGTTACAGTATTGGGTTTTATTCAGCATTAACAAACTAGAAACTTACATTTGTTATATGCTGGGTTATATCGTTTATTTCGCGTTCTTCTTCAGTCCGGTCCATAAACCCAGGGAGTAAATGCTTACTATGCAGTCTCCGCAATATCAAAACTAAAATTAAAGATTTAAAAACATTATATTATAACTTTTATAATTTTGCAGCACAGTCAAAACTTTTGGTATAACTTGCCTTTATTCTCAATTTCAGCAAGTTTAGCATGAACCTAAAAGAAAAAAAATAAAGTTCAACCCGCCAAAATATTTTGCAAACTTCAAGAATATAATGAAAAAAGCTTACATTTTGAACTTCTTCTACCCTAATGTAAATTTTAAAATAAAGAATTTAGCGCAATTTTCTTTAAAAGTATATATTTATAAAGCTTACCAATGAGGTGGCAATTCAGACATTTGAAATATTTCGTGTTGAGCAGAGTTATCTTGAATTAAACCAGCATATTCTATAGACGTGTTTGATGAATAACTGTAGCCGTCCTTTCTTTTTCTTGCGCTCGAATGGCCGTAAGAGCTGCGATATTGGATAAAGAGGAAAGTTCTGCTTCTAGAAGCCATCACTTAAAAAAGGAAATAAAGGATGGCAAGACTAAATTAGGGATATGGCTTGCGTAAAAAAATAGGTTCAAAACCGATATAGGTAATGGTGTATATATGATATTAGTAAAATACAAAATGCAATCAATATCTGCGGGAAATGAAAGAAGCTTGAGAATAAACACTTTTGTAGCTTTGAACCCACTAAGAATAATTGTGTGGCTTGAAAATAAAGCGCCGCGAAATTTAAAAAAATCTACATTTTTTTGCTACCAAATAGCCTGGCGCCAATTATCACATTCCAGGAATTGCAGGTTTAGACTGCAACTAAGTGCATCTCATTATACAGATCTTTAATAATATTAAATCCTATTTAATTCAAATCTTTAATATACCGAAATAACCACATTAATGCTGAAATGGTTTACTATATTACAGCGTTTCTTTACTTCTGAAATATCCCCATATTTAGTTTTGCTTTTTTTTAAAAAAATCAACCATCAGTTAATATTGTGATTTGTAATAATTAAACTTGCACATTATTTTACTATTTGCAGACCTTTATATATAATTGATTTTATTTAATACGTATGTAATGTTTAAAATGCATTATTGTTTCTATTTAATACTGATACTTTTTTGATACTCAAATTACACGGTATATATAACATTCTAAAATAATATTAAGTATGCTATAAAATTTATAATAACAGTAAAAAAATATATATATTAATATTTTCAAATTACATTTCCGATTTATTAGTTTATAAATTACTACTTTAATAAAATATTAATACTAATATATCTTAAAAACATAAAAATATTCCGAACACCCGGATTTGAACCAGGGACCTAGAGATTACTATATAACACTACAGTCTCCCGCTGAGCTATATTCGGATGGTTTTTTGTTAATAAGTATATAGAAACTATATCTTTTTTTAGTGATTTTGGATTATATTGGACTACGTAGGGTTTAATGTATGA